GAATACCTCCAAACCTAGGTAATGTAACCTTTAACGGTAAATGACAAAAAATAACGAACGTCGAAACGCAACATGTTAAATGCGAAAAATATAGCAAATCACTTAACGTACATTACTAATATATGGCGCGGTAAATGTTAGGTGGAGGTGTATCCGCTGCAGTCGTTGGCCTGCTCGTTGTCGTTGCTTCCATCGCAGCTCGCTGTCTCTCCTCGAAGAATGGGGAAATCGGCTGAGAGACTTTAGACGACCGCCAGCTTACGGTGCCACCCTGAAGCCCAACCCCCTATTGCCGAAGATGGGCATCTTGGCAAAAATCCTATGTCTGCCGAGAAGCAGCCACCTCCAGCTGACTCATATTCCTGGCGCTAACACATGCAACTGCAAGAGATGAAAGTGCCTACATGAATTCATATAATTTTTAAGTCTGATTTGCCTGTGTTTATCACAGTTCTCGAGAAGCTGAATTTCTTGACAACATTTTATTTGGTATCAGCATAATTTGAAGACGCGTATGTCTCAGACAGATTGTATAATGTAAATGCAGTGCAGTTAAGTTGTCCCAAGCTATGTGGTAGGTCTATTATTATGCGTGATTGATCTGCATATAATTTGTACTGAATTACTATTGCCTTAGAGTGGACATTTTCTAGAATTCCACATTATGTATTTCTTTTACACACAATATATGAATTATTTATACATTACATGTATTCCATTTGCATAAGTTTGCACTCGTACACTATAATTTGCAGATATTTTTTACAGATACAGTATACGTAAGAAATAAATAGAGTGCTCATAATCCCCTGTGGAAATGGTCGCTGTGAATGTCCGCTTCAAGCAGTGCTGCGAATTCAAATCCTATTTTTAAGTTATGTTGTAAAGGCACAGTCACGTAAAGTGATAAGGACCGTTAGGCATGGACATCCACAAGTCAATGACATAAACTATCATAAACGGAGCCCTTTCTCAAAAACTGGTCTGGACTGGGAGAGGATCGAACCATTCCCGCTAGCACAGGGATGCTGCGTGTTATCACTACATCAGTCTTTGTGCTTCAGGTTCAGCGCGACGCACACCTACTGTGTGTCTTGATATAACTTTTTTCTCTTTTTCTCTGTGCGGCTTCTTGGCCGGCTTTTCGCGGGTTATTCATAATAGGGACCGTCATCCCTTAAAATGAGAGATAGAAGTGATGTTTGGATTAATGACTTATTATCGTCATGAGACAAAATTCTATTTCATTTACTCAGTTTTTGTTCGAAGATTTCCCATTTTAGATAACACGTGATCGAGACATGACCAAAATGTCGCCTTTATAATATTATTTGCAGGATATCGGGGCTGCGCATATAAAAGTGTGTTTAATACTTTAACATAAGGATGACGCAACAATTTTGTCATCTACTGCTCTAACAGCGCATAATATTCAAGTACTTGTCATCGTCGACCGTTTAGCCGTTACAGTTTCCAATTTCGTTGTAAATCACTCCAAATTAAGGTTAAAAAGAAGTCGCTTTATATGGAAAAGCTGCGCTGTGCACGAATCAAAGTGCGGAGTTGGGAACGAGCGGAAAAAAGGATGGCAGTGCGTGGCGGTGATTCCACTGCAAAATTGTTGGAGAGGCTTTTCGGTCAATAGCAGTGCACACGCCAATTTCTTCCCACGACGCAGTATTGAAAATAATGGAAGATTCATGGGAAACGCGGCGGAGAAAAATCTGTACCTCCGGTGTGTGTGGAACTTGCCGTAAAAAACAACTGCGTTAGTGAACGATTCATTATCTTTTACTGATCATATAATGAGATTTTGCGGATGACAAACCGATGGTGATAGAGGAACAAGTGAGCTGCGATAGCAAGGTTAATCTAGGCGATTTAAGGAAACGAACTCTGCACTGATTACTGTAAAAAAATTCGTGGACGAAACAGAAGTGCCGCAGAAATTTTTTTTTTTTTTTTGCTGGTTTTTTCGTGTTAAGACAAGGGTAATTATCTTTGAATGTGTGCAGTCTGTTTTGAGCGTAGTGGATTTAATACTACATTATTAGAAAACTTAGTATATTATTATCGTTAGGAATATTGTTAATATTATTATTACTGCTATTATTATTAACACTATTATTATTAACACTATTATTATTAACGATAACTTCAGTAATAATAATAGTAATAATAAAAATGAGATGGGATATTATTATAATGAAATCTTCATGAGCATCTATTTCATGCTTCATTGTTGCACGCTCTCAGTTGCATTCACGTAATTGACGGTGTCAGAAGCGTTCCAAGATACCAAAACGACTCATAAAGCGAACCTTTGAGCACTTTTTGCTGAGAACTACCAGAAGAAGTGTTAGGATGACCTTGCGATCAGTGAGAAGCCGACATCGTCATGTGCAGAAGAGCGGTTTTCTCGAAGTTAATCTAATTAATACGAATGCGGGAAACAGCGGGCAGGCTTTGATTTCGAAAAACTCGGCGGAGGTGTCATGAGAAATGTGTATCTATGCTCATCAAAATTTTTTTCTATAAATTGTTTGTGATTAATTCTCCGCGGAATGCTGGCAAAAAATTGCAAAGTATGCTTCTATGCCTTTCTAGTCTGAACGTTTAATTTGATGAGGGATGAAGCGCCAATGATCTGAAATCAATTCTCAGGCCGCCATTAGCAGTCATCAGTCTTCAGAATCTGGGCCATACTATTCCAGTAGTGTGCTAGTTTTCTTACAGTCTATTTCTAGCAACTTACATTTTGTTGCTACACTATTTTACTGCAACTTTATCCGTGGATGATGCACTGATTTTGTATGGACACAACGATTTTTCCTTTTTTACAAGAACTAAAAACTAAAAATCATCAAAGGCACTGTGCGCACCCTTTGGCATTCTTTTCACGGTAATTATCCGGAACACTGCAAAACCAATTTGAACTCTGTGTGCACTACCATTTATTTAATTCTAGAATTTTACACAGCACAGATGTGAACAGATGAAGTTAACTTTACAACACAAACTGTTTTAAATGTGTTTTTGTGATGACATTGATTTTAGGACTACTTTGGGTACAGGGAAATGTTTTTGTAAACAGTATGATATGAATATCAACTGAAAACAGTAGCACATTCCTGACATAAACAATAATCAGCAAATCTTTCGGATCAAAAATCATTTTTCGACGATTGCGAAAAAAAAAACTGAACATTAGGACAAAGATCTACTGACAAGAGATGAGCAGCGGTTAAATGCTTCAAATTGAAACACCATTTTGCAAAAGCAAAGAAATCAATTTTTTGAGCTTTTTTGTCACTCATGATGGAAAAGAATCCGAAAGAATTTACATCAATTGTAAGGGTCTGCAAAAAGCATGAAAAAACGAGACAGAAGAAACAACAAATGAATGAATGTGCACTTTTACAATATATATTTTCAAGGGGTTATTCTTACAATACGTGATAATAATGTATAGAAGTCACCTAATTACTTAATTTTGTTCTTTAAGTTTTCCAAAAAAAATCAATGAAGAATTTTCCTACAGAAAATCCCAAAACTGCAAAATTTTTTAACGAAAGTTTTTGTTTTTGTTTTTTTTTTTGTAAACAAAACTTAAAAAAACTTAAATTCAATAATTTTTTGTGGAAAATTTTTGACTTATAAGAAAAAAACCCTATTTCTTGTGAAAAAGAATTTCGGTTTTTTTCGATTTTGTTTTTTTGTGAAGAGAGAAATTTTCATTGATTTTATTTTTCGAAAATAAATTTTGTGGGACATAAAAGCGGAAAACATCTCAATGACAAAATTTGTTTGGGTTGAAAAAATACAAAACATGTATAAAGCAAAAAACATTTTTTAATGAGTACTTAGACTAGCATAATATACAAATCTGCTTCTTTTCATTCTCGGTTTTAAACTTGCAACTCGAAATCTCGAGCAATTCTCATTACGCATCCCAGAAAAGACGGAACTACTGGTCAGTGGTACATAGATTAAGTTCTGCAAACAGTAACCATTCACTAGCAAGGCTTAACCTTTCAGAGTAACCATTCACTCGCTGGATGCTCTTTTGTAATCATCTGAGATACAGTCCAATTCCGCTTCCTTTTCCCGAAATTATGTATGCTGTAAAGCGAAACATGCAGTTGCAAGGAGAGTGATACCCTAAAGGTGAGCTTGAATAAACGAAAATGCGGACAGAGAATTTTACAGATCAAAACATCATGGCTGTTTTTCCAGGTCTTTAAAAACAAAGGTAAAATTAGGAAATGCACTCGAAGTGCTGCCTTCTGCGATCTTCATAGCGAGCGAGGTGCGAGGCAATCCCGGCTTAGGCCCTACATTTTTGTCCGTCTTTTCAAGGAGCGAAGCTATCTAGAATGATAAGATTAAACGTGAAGAACACATGAAACATTCTCTTACTAATCGGTTAAATATAAGATGCGGACGCTTGTTTGAGTTGAAACCTTTTCGAGTTGGCCTACTGTAGCTGCGGCGTATCGGTGGCCATCGAGAGTCTGCCGAGCTTTTTCTCCAGACGATGAAGTTTTTTGTCGTACTTGTGTGTGTGCAAATTGTGACGACGGCAGAAGTGTTTTTTCGGAGCAGAATACAGAGGTGGGCCCAGGCAACCCATTCGCGACATACCGGAATCAAATCGATGGTACACATCAAAACTACCTTCTGGAGGACAGCTCTGCTGATGAATCGCTGCGCCTCGACACTGAGCTAGTGATGGGTGATGGTGGTGGTGATGTTGCTCATGATCACAGTTGATGTCACCAGGAGGACGAAACGTATCTCCCGGAGCTTCTGGCTGGGGTGCATCTGGCTTGTTTGCCCCATTTTCCTGCATTTCTGAGCGCGTCAAATGCTCGCATTCCTTCGGTCTCCACATGCATCCATGTCTAGCCTTCTTGCAGTGCTTCTTCCATTTCTTTGCCATCTTGGGGTACTTCCGAATCACCGAGAAATCGGATTCACTGGGTGTGGATGAGTCCGAAGACGATGTGCTGCTGCTGCTGCTCCCACTGTTTCTGGGTCTTCTGTGATGACGTGAATGATGCGGGTGGCGACCGCGTGAACGTGAGCGTGAACGTGAATGAGAGCGTGAACGTGAACGCGTTCTGCGTCGTGGTCTTCCCCGATGCCTACCAAAAGGGCAGTAAGCTCTCTCGAAATCGTAAATGGACTGTCTTTCATCAGAGCTCACCAATGTAATGCATTTTTTGCTGGCGTCCTTACTCACGGATAAGAGTTCGTCCAGTGCTTCGGCGGTGTCCAGCAGAATGTGGTCACCTTCGGGGTCCACCCAGCAG